AAACGTTAACTCACTGTTGTTTAGCGCATCGTTCAACAAAAAGCCAACAATGGTTCCGTTTGATATCGACTATCAGCAGACCCTTGGGTCTCCGTTCATTTCTTTCATCGAACTGTCAATGCTCAATGAACACTACGGATGCAAAGGTTTTTCTTTTTCAAAACACCTTTTTGAAGATAACACATTCGAAGATCTTGCTCCTTGGCGGGTGGAGTCCCGTCAGAAAACTTCTATTCAGTGCTTGTTGGTGCTCGAAAGAACAGCATTCGCCACCCATTCTGCTTTTCTTCGAAGTTGCAGAGATATTTTAGACGGCTTTTGAGAGTGTCCTATGCAAGGTCGGACCGACGGCCAGCCAATAGGAGGCTCATTTCTTGCTTGACCTCCCAGACGTGTTTAATATAGACCACCGGTTGTGAGAGACTCATAAAAAGGGGATTTCAATAGGCGCGATTTGATCAACGAATGTATGTATGGTAAGGCGGCGCCACTCACTACCATTCCATATCCACCATCCTCAACACGCTGACAAATGGTTAGCAGCTGAAACAAGTTCCCACCATCATAAACACCTTTGCTTTTCTTATGGCATTCTTTGTTACAAAGTTCAGAAAACTGCGACAAAACCACATCCGTCAAATGCGAGATGGGAGGATTTCCTCATCCCCGAGACTGCCAGAGATGCATCTGCCCTGGTGGATATGGCGGAAAGCTCGATGTACTGTGGAAAATGCATGGGCAAAATGGTAGTAATCAGACATGAGGAAGCGCTTGGGGCAAAAGAGGGTGGCACGAATGTTTGGTTTAGCCATCCAACAGGGTGCGGGGCCGGGCGAGACAGTAAAGCAGCTTCAAGACTAAGCACTGGTACTACCATTCGATAGAATACTGTGGTTTGCGGGCCTTGGATAAGGGCACTCACCGGCGCGTGATGAGCAAGAAGACTTTGAGACATGTCACTACTGGATTGAAGTGAGTTTCACATCCCCAAAAAGTTATTGGTTAGTATTTTAGCGGTGTGCTCACCGTAACTCTGGTAAGAGCTTGGACCTCGTTGTGAGAGAGCGATTCTTGAAGCTCCCCTATAAGTGTCCTCAAATAACAACGCCACTAATGGAAACTGCCTTGTTTTGCAGTCTCCTAATGGAACCGAAATCGAAGTTAAATTAGTGAATTTCACAAAAGGTCTTCTGTTGACGGATGCAGCTTATGCAGGTGTAGAGATCAAGACCAACGAGGACCAAACGCTCACTGGTTACAGGTATATTGCTTCGAATAAATTAAAAGAGCCACAAGGTTGGTTCAAACCTAGGTAGGTGAAGAGAAAGAAAACGATCGAAATGACAGTTTAGCAGTTCTTCACAGAATAGGGAACAAACTGATTGCTGCAATTTATGTCATGCACAAGCCCCAAAATGTGACTTGAAGATTCTGCTCACCTGACGCGGCTGGAACAATTCTTCGTTCTTACATAAACCGTGTCCCAATAATGACATATAACAGGATTGTCAAAACGACGACAGTGCTTGAATACCGACACGGTACTGCTTTATTATTTCTTGTCTTAAAAAAGCTAAGATCAATTCGAAGTGTTTAGTTCCTGCAAGTTCTCCAAGACCTACGACTCCTACCACTACTACTACCACTACTACAACAACAACAAAACGACCTGTTCCTTTCATAAATACGGGAACGGACTCTAAATGCGAGGACAACCATTCGTAAGACACTTATATTATACTGGTTCCTCGTCAAAAATTACCCAGAAGATATTTCAGCTGCCTCTCTCTTGTACCGAGTGGTTTCTGCAAGGGTACACTATCGGAGGCTACCAAGAAGAAAGTGTGTCCAAGGTCATGTGGCTTCTGTGATCCTTTGCATTAACTGCACTCTGCGTTAGCCGCAATAAAGTTTTTGAAAATCTATCTAAATATTACATTATAATACACCATCGATGGAAGAGGTATGGAAATTCTTCAGCGTGCACGACTGAAGAGTTGCAGGTGCCGACAAAGCGCTACTAATTGCATGACTAGGTGAGGCACGCTTTTCAACTAAACTGTAGAATTAGATGCAGCTGGAATTGCAGAGAACCTAGTTCTGGACCGCGGTTCTTAAGCATTCATATGATGTGGAAACCGCCGAGCTTTTCAACGATTTCTTCTGAGGGGAGTTTTCGAAAATACGAGCTGTGCAGGTCGATCTCCCACGACAACGAAGTGGGTGGTCTAGTAGCGTAGAAAAAAACCGAAACATCATCTGG